ATGAAGGTTCGGAAGGTTCGGAACTTGAAGTTGGAGGTTCGACTACCCTTTTTGCAACAGGTCGTAACGCCACTGGTGGAACTCCAGCTCCAGCAATTGGCAGCTTGAACATGCTTGGCTTGACAGGCTTTTCTGGTTTTGGTGGTGTAACTTGAGGTTTTGGTGGTTCTTCATCTTTAGCCTGAATTACCCATTAAATATGAATTAATTATTTTATAAGGAACGGATTTATTAAATTGTTAAACTTACCAATGCAACTTCTTGTTCCAATAATTCAGATTGACTAGGGTTTTTTATATTCTTTGTCGGAGGCCTACTTCTAGTTGGCCTTTCCTTAACACCTAAACTAGGTAATCTTGGAGGAGTAGCGATTACAGGGGGTTCTGGTTGTTTTTCTTTAATTTCATTATCTTGATTAACTGTATCTTCTTGATCATTTTGATCATTGGTATCATCATTTTCAATATCAGTTTGCTGAACATCAGTTTCTTTTTTAGAATCTATATCAGGTTCTTTTTGTTCATTAACACCCTTTTCATCAACACAAGATTCGTCATCATCATTATCACCATCTTCAATTTTTTCGCTGTAATCACGTGGTTTTGAATCATCATCATCATCATCGTCATAAGTTTCTTGATTTTCTGATGACTCTATTTTTTCAATTTGCTCTTCAGATGTTTCTGAATTCGTTTCACCCGGCACATTCTTAGAATCTTTACGTGTTGATCTTCTTTGGACGGTAGGTGGCTTTGCCGGAGCAAATGAGGGTTTGGGAATTGTAGGTGGTTTTGCTAACGGTGGTGGTGATTTAGGAGAGTCAGACTTGGCTTCGTGTTGTGATGTGGGTCTGGGTCTAGGTGGGACGGGACGTTCAACAGGAGAAATTGGTGAAGTCACAATTTCAGAATAAGTGTCTGATGACTTATCAGTGTCTGTTGGAATACCAGGAAGTGTAGATTTTGATGGATGACGTGGTGATTGATATTGAATTGGAGGAAGATCTGGAGAAACAAGTGAGGGAGGTCGACGAGTTGCATTGGATTCACCACTTTCACTTGTACTTTGCCGAGATTCATCAGTGGATTCATGGATAGATTGTCGATTTAACGAGTCTTCGTGAGTGGAAGTTCGATTACTTGGAGGATTTGTGGGTCGTCTTGGAGGTGTTACAGGCGATTTAGAATCTTCACCAATTTCTCGTACACTAATATCAGATTGTGAATGTGTAGAAAGTGGACGTATGGTTCGTGGTGGGGAAGTAGGTTGTTCAGGCACTGCAATATCTGATGATTTTGTACGTTTTGGACTTGTGAGAATCTGTTGCAGTTCTTGTTCTTCAGCTTTAGCAGGTTTTTCACTGTCGGCTTCTTCTGCAGTTGGGCTAGCATCTGTTGTTTTAATCTCTGTCACGTATGTAGAAGGAAATATTCCAGTTTCGCCTTGTTCATTTTTTCCCCTCCACCAACCATCTTCTGTTTTTTCCAAAATTGTAATAGTCGTTCCTTCCTTCAATGAAATTTCACCTATCAAAAATAATTTTTTTTTTTTTTTAATTTATATAATAAATGATAAGCTAATGGCGATGACTAACCCGAGGATACGATAATCTACGAACCTTCTTCTTCAGCATCGTAATCATACATAACAGTGGCTAACGAACAAAGATTATAAAAAATCACACAATTTATAATCTAGTTAGCAATCATCACAGAGAATATAAATGGATTTTATACATTCTAGTGAAGACATGCGTACCTATATTTTGTTTAGTACGTCGTTTTTTTGGTGGCAGTTTAGGAATCGGAGATTTTGCTACCTATAAAAAGAAATACTTAATTAAAATTACGTATATCAACCGGTATAAATCCAGAAATGCCATAGTATAATGTTTTAAGGCAATACTAATAATTCATACCATGGGTGGAGATGCCAATTTATCATCTTTTGTAGATTCAGAATCTTCTGATGCGCTACGACTGGTAGTCTTTTTTAATGTAGAAGTATCATCATTTTTGGAAGATTGGTTTCGTTTATTTTTTAAAGGTATACCACCAGAAATTAAACTGCCAATTCCCCCAGGTCTGACACCATAGATTTTTAACTTTCTTGGTAAATGACCTATGATACAATTATTTAGAGTTATGTATAAAATTTGGAATTTATAGAATAGAATGAACATAGCTAACTTTGATTCTCTGCATTCTCAGCATCTTCTTCACCATCTGGTTTGCTTGGGACTTCGATTAATTTTACATGCTATTTTCATCATAATATAATTTTTAAATATTTTTTAGAAAAATAAAAAGAACGAAAATTGCTACTTGCGATTAAAAAGGTAGTAAACTCACATTTGCTGGAAACATGCCAATTTTGCCATTCAGATCACCTTTCCACCACCCTTGATCAACTTGTTCTATCACGGTTACCACATCACCTTTATCAAGAGATAATTCGTCAGCTTCCTTAGCCTGATAATCATATTCGACTTTTGCCAATTTTGGTTCTACCGTATAAATTACAAAGTTTTAAGTATTCGATAATTAAATAACTATCCAATATATAAAACAACATATATATAAGTACCAGCGGATTTTTTTGTCTGCTCGTCTTCTTCACCATAATCTACAACTGACTCGTCAAGAGTTTCGCTTGACTAATCAATGAAAACGATATTTTTAAAAATGATGAAATTCGATATTATATGAAAGAAAAAAAATTATAGATAGTTAAACCAGTGGAATCTTTGAAGTACCTTTGATTCTTCCTCAATATCCATAAGAGTAAATTTTGTTCTTTAGTATTTTTTAAATAGGAAACGATATAAAACTTCAATAGATCCGAATTAGGCGTCTAAGTGGATGAAATAAAGAAAACCACTAAATTTATATAATAGATCAAACACACAATGCGATGCAATGTGTTACTATCCAACCAAAATTAGCATTAACTGCATACATATAAAAAAATGTGCTACAATTAATTTACGGTTTAGTATATGTGTCAACGATCGACAATAATTGCATAATGCTGTAATGTATACTAAGTCACTATGTAATCTACGTAATGCGTGTTCTTTTCTTTTACATAAAATTAATGTGCTGCGTGGATTAAAATAGCTTTAAATAAAATGCTATTCTTATATAAGTTCAATTAATAGTGATCTAAGACTGGTTTTAATCTTTTTTCTTATAAATTAACTTGATCCGTTCTCTACAACATTTATAAGCAAAAAGAATTATCTTTGTCAATCGCAGCCCGGATAGTGATTATAGTGATCTTGTTTATAGAACTTTTTAGATTGTAATTATAGTCATGCTTCATGTGCAAAATTTCCTTATAATTTCAAGTTTTAACTACTTTTGTATTAACTAAATTAAATTATTATGTACTGCACATGATAGAAAGTTGACAGGACGTAGCGACAGTACTGATTTGAAATTCACGTGATTAGCATTGAACCAAACTTAAATTTTAATTTGAGTTAGCTTAAGTTATAGTAAGAGTAAGGTTATGAGTTAAAAAGATATATGGTAATGAAATATACAAAGAAATGGTTTATTAAGGCACGAAAGTTAATTATAAAAAATTTTAAGCTATATAATATTTCATCAAATGAGCGTTTGGGTCGGATTACTTTTCATTAATTATATGCTTTTATTTTTCGCCACTTGAGACGCATTACTATTCTTAGGTTATAAAATCAATTAAATAAGCAACGTTCACATTATACCTGCTGCTCAATCTACTCAATCTACTCAATATAGATACTTTTACTGTATACTTAACCCTGACAGGTTATATTTCTGTATGAATATTAAATAGTAATGTAATATACATAATAGAATATAAGTACAGTATAAAGAACAATAAAAATATAAGGATGTCAATTTACATTGAATGTTATAAAATTAATAGTTTATTGAATTTTTTTTTTTTAAAAAAAAATCAATAATTTTATATAACTGTATTAGCTTTTTTTTTTTATGAAGTCTGTTTTTTTTAGTGTATAGTAGTTGTATACAGTATAATAATTATAGTGTATTTAACTTCTAAATAAATTTTTAGATATTGTTAACACTCGTTTAAATTAGATATTTGAAAATAGAGAAGTTGCCTTTAAGGTTAAACCCTATAGCCATAATCGAAGCCACAATCGAAGACACAATCAAATACACAATTGAAGACATTATTTTGTAATAGTACCTATTAGAATCATCACGTACTTTACTTTATTCATCATCATTTATTGTTAATGTTATTGTTGATAATTATTCGCGGTTTTTATTAAACAGTTTCACGAATTACTTATATTGTTTGCATTGTTCCGTCACACATTTCGATCAGTTGATCAATAACTTTTACCAAATCTAGCTAGAACAAGTTTTTGTGTAGTGTTACACAACGCGTTACAGCACAAATGATCTGATTAAAGATCAACACCCCTGATTTGGTTTATCTTTTTTAATCCCCCTTGCATAAGATTTGATATAAATTGTGAGTAAAAGAATGATCTAAAATGATTGTTTTGATTCTTTCTCACTCTTGTTTCACAATATATAATTTTTTTTTAACGTGGATGCTTTAACTCGCTCTAACTTTACTCATCATATATTCATCTATTAATACTTAGAGTTTGCGTATTTTGTTTGGGTTTTTGACGGTAAGTATTAAAAAAAAGTTCGATATATGTTGTTTAAAGTTCTCGTAATGGTTTCTTTGAAATATTTCTTTGCGTCAACTTTATTGCAACGATATCGTACGTTATTATAATCTTTAAATTATGATGTTATGTTGTTTAGACTTTTTAATATGACAAGGAGAAGGAGACAAGTTAGTGAAGAAGACGAGGTTTATGCTGCAATGTGTATTTTAAAAGAAAGGTGGGATGAACATAATTCCGTGATGTACCTAGTACAATGGGCGGGTCATGATCAAAATGGAAATCCATGGGAACCAACTTGGGTGAGATTTATTTTTGATTTTTCCTTTTTTCTTTATAAATTGTATTTAATAATAAGTGTTTTAATGCATTTTTTTAGGAACCCTATGAAAATTGTGGAACTATACTCATACAAGAATGGGAGGAAAAACGAAGAAAAGAGCGTGAAAAAGATAATGGTGAACCTAGAAATCCTGAGCAAAATAATACTAATGCACCGATAGTTAACGAGGGAAAAAATGATATTGTTGAAAAAAACGACGATGTTTGTCAATCACGACAAATAAATGGAATAAACGGGAAGAAGAAAAAACTACATCAACTTCACGATACTCCTACTACTACTGGTGACAAAAACGCGAGCGTTGGAAGAGGCATATTTTGTGATGATGTTAATCAACCCAATGATGCCATCTCTGAGAGTTCTCAGAGTCCATCATCTAAAAGAATTGTACATCGAAAAAATTCTATGAAAGGTGTTGATTTAGATAATAATCGTAAACGTAGCGTTTCTCTAAAGTCAAGACAAGTAAAACTTTTCAAAAGTCTTTCTAATAATGGCAAATTATCAGTTAATTCTTCTCGTCGTGTGCCAGACAGTAGTAATGATTCTCTTTCCTCAAGCGACTCCGAACATGAAATTCATCATCATATGAACGGAAATGGTGCAATTCAATTTTATAAATATCCGCTTCGATCTCGATCCGGCAGACTGTCGATTACTAGGCGATTGGAATGTTCGTCCATAAGTAAACGAAAGGTATCTCCACGTTCATTTGATGGTCGAATTACTGATGATCTAGATTCTCGAAAAAAATTACGCTATGATGAGGATTCCTATAGCAGTGAAGAAGAAATTTTGTGTTCAGGGCAAGTGTTTCCTTGTGGTCAAATTACGCCCATCACATCTCATTCTCCAAAATATGATGACGATATCGAAGATTTATATGCACCACCAATAACGAAAACGACGAATATTAAAAATGTTGATAAATTGGTTTCAAATTCTACACCACAAACCACTATCAGCCATTCTACTAACGTTAATATGAATGGTTCTCATGAACATGCGCAGAAATCATCAAACGGTTTCGATTTAGGAACTACCGCTGCTAACGATGCTAATTCATCTTCAAAAAGGCCAATTGATCATCATCATTCCATTCAGAATATTAGAACAAGTATTGCAACGTCAACGAATCAGTGTGTAAATATAAATGTAAATACGCAATCTTCTGAATCATTACTCTTAATTGCTCCGAAACCAGTTCAGACAGTACGAAATGATGTTAACCTGAGAACTACACAAAGACGCACCCAAACTAAGGCACGTAAACCACCTTTAAAAACGGATGCTGTAAAGAACGTATCTCAGTTAACAGTTAATTCATCAAATCCTCCAATTTTACCAAAACCACCAACTTCTTCTAATATTGTTCCCATTATAAGACCAACGTCACTAATGAACAATAACACAAATATGCGTTCTGTACAAAACAGAACAATTAGACCAAATAGTGACCTATATTCAAATCCAATTAGGCCAAATAATGATATATATTCAAATCAAATTAGACCAAATGGTGATCTATATTCAAATCCAATTAGACCAAATGGCGATCTATATTCAAATCAAATTAGACCAAATAATGAACTATATTCAAATTCAATTTTACCGGATGATAATTATAATAAGGTCACCTTAAAAGATGGCCAAGGTTCTGCCACATTAGCTGATCACGGACATCAATCAAGAAATATGTTACATGCACCACTGACAACACATAGGTCGTTAGGCGTATCACAACCAAATCCATTAGGTGTAGGCGTAAATAATTTGCAATTGGACAACTCCGTCGCTACAACGAATACTACCAATTGTAACGCTGCACCAAACCTTCGAAATAAAACTAATATACCATCTTATCAAGAAATTCATGTATGTATGATTTTTATTTGCAATTTACTTATAAACGCGCACAAGTTTTATATTTATTTTAAATGTTTCTAATTCTATATATAGAGTGCTTCAGAAAATCGTTATATGAAGTCGGAATTAATTGAACAAAGAAAAACTATTGAAAGGCAAACGGAGCAACTTTCAAAAGCGCACAAAGCATTGGCCGAAAAAACTGAAGAATGCGAACATTTGAAAAATACTATTAGTAATATGACTACTAACGAATCTTTGAAACAAGAAAATGAATCTCTGAAACGAGAAAATGAAATGCTTAAAATGTATTTTGCAAAGGTTATTCAGGATGGAGGCACAATTATTCAAAGAGACTATGATAAATTGTCAACTATGTGTACGTCTATTCAAAATTTAAGCAATCAGCATGACATTGTTGTTAATCATTTACAAAGGGCAGAAAGCACGTCCACTAGTTCTAATAGTTCTGAAAGTCATTCGCAACTGCGTAGTAAGCTTAATCAATCTCAATTAAAGGTTTCACTACTAGAGAAGTCATTGCAGATGAAAGATGAAAATGAAAAAATCTATCAACAAGCCGCCAGATTAGTTCTTGATTTAAGACTTGAACCTCTGAAAAATTACATGGAATTGCAAAATAGTGTTAAAGCATTAATTCCTTCATCAATTTTAGAAGCTTCTCGTATGAGCACTGAACATAATGCTACTAGAAGGGATACATCCATAAACATCTCTACTACAAAGACTAGCAATGATAAATTTTCGAGCAATATTAATACAAGTAACAATATAAATGCACAAACGGACAATTCTCCTTTTAATACAAGTAACAATTATAATAGTGCAAGAAGTATGGATATTGTAAGGTCTGTGAATGGTACTTCTAAAGGTGTCATGAAAACCAAGGATAGTACTGACGCAAATTTTATAAAGCCGACTAATGGCACTGTCACTAAATCAAAAGATGTTGTATCAATACCAACTGTTTCAACCTTTGCAGATAATACGTCAATCTCTAATGTATTTACTAGATCATCAGAAACTCCCGAGTCTACTTTAAATCCAGATAATAAATCAACATCAATTGCGTCTATTTCAAAAAGCCTCGTGACTCCTACAAAAAGTACGCCCAAGATTAATGGAGGACCATCAACTAGATTTACGGCTATAATGAATTCTCATTCCGCTTTGCCGTATCCTATAAGTCAGAACGTAACGAGCAACACTTCACCAAATAAAGCGACAAATGGAATGCTAAATGCTTCCGCTAAATCGCAATATTCTGTACCTGCCATACACAATAAAGACTTAC